CGGCTCAGGTCATGATCCTGGAGTCCCTGGATCGAGTCCCACATCGGGCTCCCTGCTCGGCAGGGAGTCTGCTTCTCCCTCTGACCCTTCCCCCTCTCATGTGCTCTCTCTCGTTCTCTCTCAAATAAATAAATAAAATCTTTAAAAAAAAAAAAAAAAAAGCAACTAGACAGTGTCTAACACAGACTAGGTACTAGTAAATATTATTGGATAAATGATCTGACTTCTGGTTTATTTCCATAGAATTAATTTTTCACTCAGCAGTCAATGTGACATTCAGAAACATCTGATGCTGATCCATTGCCCTTTAATGGCTCACTATTGTCACAGGTTAAAGATCACATTTTGTATTAATGCAATTTGCTCATTATTATTCACACAATCAGATCTACTTATTCTTGCAGTTCAACTTCTTGCCACTTTTCTCCTGGTGATAATAAATGTTGTTTATTAAATGGGGCAAACTCTCTTACCTTCCCATTTGATAATACATTTCCACTGAATCCTCATCCCTGATCCTCATCTGACTCACTCCTACCCATTTCTTCAGGTCCTAGCTTAGTACTCACCTCCTCACCTGACCTGAAAGGGGTTGGAAACTCCTGCTAGATTACAAAGTACTTTGCAAACCAAGATCTTAGTTAACTACTTAGCTAATCAAGGACCTACATTGCCTTTTGCTTTCAAACAATTTTGTAGGAGACCTTCTTACCTGGGGGCTCAGTCAGTTAAGTGTCCAACTCTTGATTTCGGCTCATGTCATGATCTCGGGGTCGTGAGATTGAACCCTGAGTGGGCCTCCATGCTCGGTGGAGAGTCTGCTTGAGATTTTCTCCCTCTGCCCCTCCCCCTGTGCTCTCTCTCAAATAAATAAAATCTTTAAAAAAAAAAAAAGAAAATATTATCTGCAATAGGAGGAAAATTGAGATCACCTCAATTACTTAAGGCCTAGATCAGAAGCCTAGTTTAGGAGCTGAGTATCTGTAAATCTTCATTAGGCCTTAACTATAAACACTTTCCAATATGTGGCCTTTCAAGACTAGAAGCTTCTCAGACGCTACTCTGAGGTAGTGTTAGCAAAACGCTGGGAATACATTTTAAAACTGTTCCAAATATCTACTATGGTATTTTATTTAATGAGATAAAGATATTTATATCATACTTGAAGGATTATAATGCTGGGGCTGGATGGGGTTAGGAGAGGACAAAAAATAAAGTTTGGGAGTCAACCTTCTCAGTCTGAAGCCATCACACACGTGGTACCAAAGATTCCTCCTAACAATCTGTTCCATTTTCTTCATAATCTCAAAAAGGAAGAAATCATTAGCTTCAAATTGTTTATATTTTTAGAAAATGCAATTTTAACAGGGGCATATAAGGATTTTCTTCCATTAATGACTCAAAAATTTTTTGAAACCCTCCTCACAAAACTCAGAATTTTTTTAAAAAGTACAAGAATGCAACCTAATTTCTTTTAAAACAAATATTAACAAAAAGTAATACACACAAAAATAAACAAGTCTTCATAAATAAAGCCATTTTAAACTGGTAATCCAAAGAATAATCTCAACATTAAAACTTTAGTTTGGGAATAAACTATTTGTCTTAAGAGCTTTATTGAGGTATAAGTGACACATAAAAAACTATATATTAAAGATATACAATTTGATGTTTTGACATATATACATATACACACACCCATAAAACCATCACCATAATTAAGGCAGTAAATATATTCATCACAAAAATAATACCTCTTATTCCTAATATTGGTAGTTTTTTCCTAATCAGTCTAGAGGTTTATCAATTTTATTGATCTCAATAAACTTTCATTGACTTTTCTCTATTATTTTTCTGTTTTCTAGTTTTTTGATTTCTGCTCTGATCTTTAGTATTCCTTTTCCTCTATTTAGTTTGGGTTTAAGTTGCTCTTCTGTTTCTCATTCCTAAGTTAAAAGCTGAGGGCATTGATTTGAGACCTTTCTTCTTTTGAAATATAGGCACTTAGTGAGATAATTTTGCTCTAAATCTGTTTTAGAAGCATTCCATACATTTTGATACATTGTGTCTTCATTTTGATTCTCTTTGAAATAGCTTCTAATTTCCCTTTTGATTTTTTTCATTGACTCATGGCTTATTTAGAAGTGCATTATTTAATCTCCCAACTATCTATGGGTTTTCAGAGATCTGTTATTTCTAAATTAATTCCATTGTGGAAGAGAATATAGCAGGTATGATTTGAATCCATTTACATTGAGAACTGGTTTTGTGGCCCAGGATATAGTCAATATTGGTAAATTTTATGTTTACATAAAAAGAATGTATATTCTACTGTTGTTGGGTAGTTTTTTAATAAATGTCAATCTAATCAAGTCGGTTCAGAGTATTGTCCAAATCTTCAATATCCTTTCAGATTTTCTATATATTTGTTCTACCACTTATTGAGAGAGGCTATTTTTTTTCCAACACAGAGCTTGAACTCATGACCCTGAGATCAAGACCTGAGCTGAGATCAAGAGTCAGACACTTAACCAACTGAGCCACCCAGGTGCCCCAGAGGGAGGCTATTGATATCTCTAACTATAATGACAGATTTTTCTATTTCTCCCTGAAAATCTATCAGTTTTTGATTTATGTATTTTGAAACTATTAGTGGGTGCTTTGTTTAGATTTTGTCCTCCTAATGATCTGACTCATTTATCATTATGACATGAACGTCTTTATATTCCTGGTTATATTCTTTGCTCTGAAATCTGTTTTATTTGTTGTTAATATAGACACTCTAGTTTTTTGTTTTCAATTGGTTTACATTATCCTGACTTTTTTTTTTTTAATTTGTGGTAAGGCCATTTAACAGATTTACTCTTTTAATAAATTTTGAGTGCAAGATACAGTGTTTTTAACTATAGGCATGGTATTGTAGAGCAGATCTTGAGAACTTACTCATTTTGCATGACTGGATTAAATAGTCTCCATTTCCCCCTCCACTCAACCTCTGGCAGCTGCCATTCTACTCTCTGCTTCTATGATTTTAACAATTTTAGATAACTCATGTAAGTAGAATCACATGTAGTATTTATCTTTCTGTGATTGACTTATTTTACTTAGCGTAATATCCTCAGGGTTCACCCAGGTTGTTGCATATGGCAGGATTTCCTTCTTTTTTTAAGGCCAAATAATATTCCACTGTATTTTCTTTATTCATTCATCTGTCATTGGACATTTAAGCTGTTTCCACATCTTGGCTATTGTGAATAATGCTGCAATAAATATGGAAATGCAAGTATCTCTTTGTGATTTTCATTTCAATTCTTTTGGATAAATACTCAGGAGTGGGATTCCTGAATCATATGGTAATTCTATTTTAAATTTTTTGAGGAACCTCTATACTATTTTCCCTAGTGGCTGCACTATTTTACATTCTCACCAACAATGTACAAGGGTTCCAATTCTTCCATACCCTTGCCAACACTTTTCTCTTTTTTTTTTGATAATGCCATCCTAACAGGTGTGAAGTGATATATCTGTGTGATTTTGATGTGCAATTCCCTGATGACTAGTCCCTCTGAGCATCATTTCCTATACCTGTTTGACATTTGTATGTCTTCTTTGGGGAAGTATCTATTCAAATTCTTTGCCCATTTTACATCAGGTTATTATTATTATTATTATTTTTTGCTACTGAGCTGTAGTTCCTTATACTTCTTGGAAATTAACCCCTTTGATATATAGTTTGCAATTATTTTCTTGAATTCTTTTCACTCTGTTGTTAGTTTGTTATGCAGAAAAAAAACAAAGTCTCACTCGTCCAGTTTTGCTTTTGTTGACTTTTGGGATCAAAACCAAGAAATCATTACCAAGACCAATGTCATGAAGCTTTCCTATTATATTTTCTTCTAGTTGTTTTATAGTTTAAGGTCTTTGAGATGATTTTTTTTTGTACGGTTCACTGTTTTGCATTTAGATATCCAGTTTTCCAAACACTATTTGTTGAAGACACTATCTGATGCTGACTTATATTTTTGGCACTCTCAACTAGTTTCTGGATTGCTCACAAAGGGAATTTGTCTCTGTATTACTGCTGACTTGGTCGGTATGTTTATGGGGTGGGGGAGGAGGGTCCAAGGCTTCTATTCTGCCATCTTGCTGATATCATGTCTCAGCATGGTGTATCTTTTTTTTTTTTTTAAAGATTTTATTTATTTATTCATGAGAGACAGAGAGAGAGAGAGAAGCAGAGGGAGAAGGAGGCTCCCAAGGAGCAGGGAGCCCGATGCGGGACTCGATCCCAGGACTCCGGGATCACGACCTGAGCCGAAGGCAGACGCCTAACCGTCTGAGCCACCCAGGCGCCCCTCAGCATGGTATATCTTAAAAGATATATGGGGCACCTGGGTGGCTCGTCGGTTAAGCATCTGCCTTCAGCTCAGGTCATGATCCCAGGGTCCTGGGATCGAGCCCCATGTTGGTCTCCCTGCTCAGCAGGGTGTCTGCTTCTCCCTCTCCCTCTGCTCTCTCTCTTGCTTACTCTCTCAAATAAATAAATAAAATCTTAAAAACAAAACAAAACACTGTATTACTTTTCACCTATTTTTGTCTTTATATCTGAAGTGCATTTTTTCCTAATTTCTACATTTCTTCTGAACTTGTGGCTTATAATAGCATACCAACCTTATAAATCAGTTATTTTAGATGAAGAATCACCACTTTCTAAATAATATACTACCATGTGTGATTCTGGGGACAGGTAGGGAGGGGAGAGCAGAGACAAGAAATACACCTTAAATAGAACCATTAATGTAATTTCATATAATACAAGTTGAATAACGGGGTAAATGATTTAATGTGTGGTTTTATTTCATATTACACAAATATTAATCAAGCAGCCAGTAGTCAGATGTCAAGCACTCTAAGACAAATTCTCTTGAAGATAGTTTCTCAGATTTTTAGTGTATCTAAGACTTGACTGCACAGTTTGTAAAAAAATGCAGATTTTCAGGCTAACCTCCAGATTTTAATTTAGTAGGATTGAGATGGAGTCTAGGAATCTGCAAATTACTGACCAACTCAGTGACCCTGACAGGAGACAAAGAGATCACTATGGAGTTAGGCATACCCTTATTTCTTATTTGAACTGGATAAATGGATGATGGGTACAACAGAATGAACATTATTAGACAATCCAGGTAGAGGCAAGAACAAGCCAAGGTGTTTTAGCCTAGCTTAAGAGTTTCAGATTAGAAAAGGCCTCTGGTATCAAACTAAAAAACCTATAGATTAGAATCTTGAAACTGTCTAAGGTTTCAGAGTAGGGGAATAATAATCTGAAAAATTTTTAAAGGAATGTTGATTGGATGGGATGAGTTGTAAGTTGGAAAGCCAGTGAGAAGGTGTATAATGAGGTGATAAAGGTTAGCATCAAGGAGGAGGTACAGATAACAGAAAATAAAATGTCAGAAGTCATACTGGTAAAAAATATTGAACTTCCCTTCACATACCTAAGAATAGAAAGTTAATATTAAATACATTAAAAATATTCATTACAAACATAATAATAATAGCAACAATAATAATAAAAATAGTAAGAATGAAATAATCTTTAACAGGTCTTTCAGATGTTTACTTGCATCATTCTTGAAACTCCATAGGAGCTCAACAGCAGTTTGTATTGC